CATCCAATGCCCCCACTCTAGTACCTAACCCAGTGCCATTCTTGACAGATATTCGAAGTACGGTTTCCAACGAGCAGTGTGGTGATTTGTCTCTTAGTTTTCGTTTGGAAAATAAAGTCCCACATCAGAACAAAGTCCACTCAAAGTTTCCACTGTTATCACAAATAACGAACTAATAGGTCAGGAAGTCAGTCTCTTGTATTTAAATGACCTATTTCAGTCTTGTTGCCAGTTAAAAATAGATTTGTACTCCCAGATAGCTTAGTGACCGATTACGAAAGAATGTAGATGTTTCCTACACTATTTTGTTCCCTAATGTTACTACCCACTTTCTCCTTATTCTTTTTAAGAGGAATTCAGAAAAAGGAAGATTTTAAGTGAAAATCATATTTTATTTAGATCTTTTAAAGAAAGGCTGTGTGCATACAAGGAGTATTATTATTTGGGTAGCTAATTCTGAACTTCTGTTTTCATTTTATTTCTTTTAAGATTATTTGGGCCCTAGCCTGTTTGGCTCAGTGGATAGAGCATCGGCCTGTGGACCAAAGGGTCCCAGGTCCGATTCCGGCCAAGGTCATGGACCTTGGTGGCAGGTTCTTTGGGCCCTGGCCCTGGTTGGAGGCAACCAATTGACGTGTTTCTCTCACATCGATGTTACCCTCTGTCTTGCCGTGTCTCTTCCACTCTCCCTAAAAATCAATGGAAAAATATCCTCGGGTGAGGATTAACAGCAACAACAACAAAGATTATTTGGAAGGCTGTGGGCTTGATCCCCAGTGCGAGCTCAGTGGTTGAGCATCAACCTATGAACCAGGAGGTCACAGTTCAATTCCTGGTCAGTGCACATGCAGGGGTCACGGCTCAGTCCCCAGTGGGGAGAGTGGAGAAGTCAATCAATGATTCTCTCTCATCATTGATGTTTCTATCTCTCTCTCCCTCTCCCTTCCTCTCTGAAACCAATAAAAAACAGATTTAAAAGAAAGATTATTTGGGAGACCACAGAAGGCAGATATGCTGGGCTTAAGTCATGGATCTGAAATCATGGGCAAGACCAGAGACTTAACTTCTGAGCCTCAGCTGTCTCTAAAATGGGGATATAATACCTCCCATATAGGGTTGCCTGGAGGATTGAAAGATCTAACATAGGTTATGGTGAGCTCTTTAGGCAACAGCTTTGTGAAGCCCAGTTCTCACTGGGCCCATGCCTGCTTCCTACATGAGCTACTGCTTGCATTTCCTATTCGTTGTCTCTGATAATTTGGGCCTCATCAGGCATCTGCCCACCAAGTTTCCTAAACTGTGTAGGCAGGCACCCCGGAGTGCTGCAGCAAACTCACCAAGAGCTGGATATTTTAAATCCTAAAGGGAACTGTGGCATCTGTTAGACATGGAATGAACTACTGGTTCGAAGGAGTTCACAGTTTCAACATTAAATTGTAATACATTTCTTTCACTGGTATCATATCTTTGCAAGACTATGTTTTCTGAGGTTGTGATAAAAGCAAGTTCCGCATGAAAGTCAATGTACAGCAGGATGAAGAGGGCAGTATCCAGTCTAATTCCAAGGTTTGAGGAGTTGAGCAGTGATCTACAGGCACAGACATCTTATTAACAGGTAAGTATGGTTATTTAAGAATGAAATAAAAATGTATTTTTTCTAATTGATGTGTATTATTTTTTCAGATACCTAATAAGATGTTAGGACATGAATACTCATTAAGTGTTTGGATCTTACTATCCAGTGAATGGTTTTTTGTTTGTTTGGTCTAGAAATATGTGAAAAAAAATGAAGTAGTAACAGTGCTGTGAAATAGAAACTTTGAGAACTTTCTGGTCGGTTTAACCTAGAACAGACAATAGTGATGTGGAGAAATGTGTAGATTTTGTACTAGGTATGTAATCATAATAATAAATGTTAAATTAAAATAGTCAAGACTACATCTTGTAAATAAACATGCTATTCTCCAGGAAAACACTTCTCTTTTAAAAATATATATATATCTTATTGTTTTTTTTTTACAGAGAGAAAGGGAGAGGGAGAGGGAGAGAGAATTAGAAACATCAATCAGCTGCCTCCTGCACACTCCCCACTGGGGATGTGCCTGCAATCAAGGTACATGCCCTTGACTGGAATCGAACCTGAGGCTCCTCAGTCTGCAGGCCGATGCTCTATCCACTGAGCCAAACCGGTCAGGGCAGGAAACCACTTCTTTAATTAGCTAATTCCTACCCAGTCTTAAAACTCAAATATAACCTCTTCCAGGAAGCCTTCTGATTTACAACTCTCCAATCCCCATTCGCAGTGTCATCTAGAGAAGGAGCCTCTCATCTAGACTTCCCCAAACCCTCTGCTTACCCAATCATAGCATCCTGGAAATGTTGATTTTCTTGTCTCTGTTTGAGTTTATCTAAACAAACTTGCCCCGGCCAGTGTGGCTCAGTGATTGAGCATCGACCTATGAATCAGGAGGTCATGATTCGGTTCCCAGTTAGGGCATATGCCTAGGTTGCTGGCTCAATGCCAGTAGGGCTGGACCCTCTTTTTATGTTCTTCTGCAACCCTTTATGAATGGAACCTTTAAAATACCTAAGGAATAGTAAGCACAATTTACTTGCTGGAGGTCCAGTTTCAGGGAAATTACAGTCAATTAAATATGGAAGAAATTTTACAACACAATACAATGTGAAACACAGAAATATAGAAAAAAAAAACAGAATAAACACAGAAAAGAGTCAGATTTCTTTGAATTTGGAGTGTCTTATTATTGTCATTTTGTTATTGTGAACATTTCAAATGTCAATTTTCATTCACTTGTTCAACTGAAATTGATTGAGTGCCCATTATGGGCCAAGCACCATCTGAGGGAAAACAAATGATCTTGGAGCTTTCTGTGTAGTAGAGGAGACGACATTATACAGATTATTATTAAGTTATAGTTGGAAATAGTTGGCAGGAAGGTAAATATAGTGTGCATTTAGGATGTATTAGAGTCCACTTTCGACCCATTAAAATAGCTAAAACTAATAACCCCTAACTTACTAAATATTGTGGAGGATATGGAGCAACTGGAACTCTCAAGCATTGCTGGTGGGAGTGTAATATGGTGCAGCCACTTTGGAAAAGCTGTTTGATAGTTTCTCATCCTATATAATAAAATGTGAATATGCAAATTGACCTAACAGCCGAACAACCAGTCGCTATAATGTGCACTGACCACCAGGGGGCAGACGCTCAATGCAGGAGAGCCCTGCTCAGCCAGAAGCCCAGCTCACAGCTCCCGGCTGGCAAGCGCAGCAGCTGTGGCGGGAGCCTCTCCTGCCTCCTCTGCAGGCAGGTGGCAAGGAGTGAGGGGTCCGGGACTACAAGAGCCCCAGACTGCGACAGGGATGTCTGACTGCCGGCAGAAGGACATCCCCCAAGGGGTCAAGGGCTGTGAGAGGGCACAGGCTGGGCTGAGGGATGCCCTCTTTCCCCCCCCCCCCCCCCCAGTGCACGAATGTTGTTCACCAGGCCTCTAGTACACTTATAAGAACTAATAATTCCAGTTGAAAGGAACCAAAGTTTTGCCTTTTTAAAGCTGGTTACTAAGAAAAGACTCAGAATCTTTGACTCTTCCCTTTCCTGACTAAGAGACTCAGATAGAAAAACTTGCTCCAAGAAAGAAATCTTAACCTCAGCTTAATCTGAATTGAGTATGGCAGACGGGAAGATGTCAGGCAGGGGCCTGTTTACTGGATCCCCCTCTGTCTCATTGTTTCTAGGTTGCCTAGCAAAAAATTGCCTGCTTTGTTCTGTTCTTCCTTATCTGCAAATGGCCCATTCTGGTTTTCGGAATCTTAAGATTCCCCTCTCCTTTATCCAAAATAACATTACACCTAATTTACTTCACTATCTGGAATGTTTATGCTTATGTGAATTCCCTCCCGGCACATGTATTGAAATTGGTTTTCATCTGTTAATTTGATTAGCCCAGCTAGAATTTAGAAGGTGGGAGAAAAATTATTATTATTTTTTTATCCCCCACAGTGTATTTTACTCAATAGAAACGAACACAATTGTCCACACAATGACTTGAACATAAACGATTATAGCAGCTTTATATATAATTATACAAAACTGGAAACAATGCAAATGTCTGTAAACAGGTGAATGAGTCAGCAATTGTGATGCTTCCATACAATGGATAATACTGAGCAACCAAAAGGGACTGCTAACACTACAACAGCATGGGATGAATCCCAAAACATTAAGCTGAGAAAGAAACCCAACTCAAAAAGAGTACAGAAGCTCGAAACAGACTGACGAATCTCAGAAGGAAGGCGGGGGTGGGGAGGTGGGTGGGGAGAGATTAACCGGGGAATTTACTTGCATTTATGCATAGCGCCTGGACACAGACAATAGTGTGGTGAAGGCCTGGGACCTGCTGGTGCAGGGTGGAGGGGGTCATTGGGGGAAGTGGGGAAGGGCACTTCTGTAATAATTTCCACAATAAAGATAAATTAGAAAGAAAAAAAAGTACAGACTCTATGAAGTTACATGATGTGAAAGAACAGGAAAAACTACGCTAAAGTGAAATCAGAGTAGAATTGCCTAGGGAGGCAGTGCGTATTGACGGGGAAGTTGCCCGAGTGATGGAAATGCGCTACGTCTTCGTTGGGGGGGTGGTGGTGGTGGTGGTGTTTACACTGGTGAATACATTTGCCAAAACTCATGGACTGCACACTTAAAATCTGTGCATTTTACTCTATGTAAACTAAAACGCAGTTAAAAATAAAAAAGGCACGGTCGCCCAGTCAGTAGGGGTGGTGGCTGGAAACAGGGGTCACGATGTTTCTTCAATGAAGGAGTGTATTTATTCTACAAGGTAAAACCAAAAAACAAACAAACTGGAGCGGGGCTGGGGAAGAGGGCGTCCACATACCAGCTACTTTCCCACATACTGACTTTAAAGGGGAGGAAAACCGGAAGCTTTCTATATTTCACGGGGCGAGGGCAGGGCGCTGTGATCGCGGGGGACGGAGAACGGCCGGGCTCCAGGGACTGCCGACCGAGCGCCACCGCAACGCCCGCCGCCTGGGCTCCCATTCGCCCAGCGGGGCCAGCAGTCGCCGCCGCCGCCGCCGCCGCCGCCGAGCTCTAGTCTAGACCCGCGGAAGCTCGCCGACGTCGTGCTGACGTCACGCGCGTGCTGACGTCGCCGGCGGCCGCGGCCTCTGAAGCGGGCTGGGTGTCGGGGGGCGCCGAGTTTGACTAGTTTGGGGGCCGCTGGGCGCCTGGCGCCGCTCCCGCCGCCCGCCGCGCCCCGCGAGCCGCCCCTCGGCGCGTCCCGCCCGTTCCCGCGGGGACCCGCACTGGCGGCTGGGCGGCCCCCGGCGAAAGTCGGCCCCTGGCGGGCAGGCGGGCGGGCGGGCGGGCGGCCGCGGCCATGGAGCCCCGCAGCATGGAGTACTTCAGCGCCCAGGTGCAGCAGAAGGACGTCGGCGGCCGCCAGCAGGTCGGCCAGGAGCTGCTGCTGTACCTCGGCGTCCCCGGCGCCATCCCGGACCTGGAGGAGGACGTGGGGAGCCTGGGCAAGACGATCGACGCCCTCACCGGCTGGGTGGGCTCGAGCAACTACCGGGTAAGCGGCGGCGGCGGCGCGGCCGGGCTGGGCACGCCCTCCCCGGCCGGCCCTTTAATCCCGGACGTGCGAGTCCGGCCCGGCGAGCCCCCTCGGGGGCGCTCGGTTCGGCGGAACCACCCCGGAAAGGGGAAACCCGGGGACCCGCGGGATCTCGGGCGAGCCTGCCTCTCCGGATCGGAGCAGGGGACTGGCTTCCCATCACGACCAAGTTTTTCCACCATTGTGAACAATGACAAATCCAGCCGTTCCCCGACACGGGGATGCGTTATTGGCATGAGGATCCACTGTGTAATCATTAATTTTTTTAAAAATCGGTGATAATTCATAAAGGGCTCGAAGACTTTTTTTTTTTTTTACATTTGTACGTCCCGAAGTAAACACTACCTAGACCGAGACATAAGACGTTAGAATCCAGGTATTATGAAAGAGATGTCAAGTTAATCCCTCTTTAATAAGTGATTTTTATCCTTAATCTCCTGCTCTTTTTTCTTTTATAAATTGTGCTCTTCATCTCTAAAGCATCTTTTAGAGCTTAATCAGGCGCCGTTAAACCTAATAACAAGATGCTAACTCCAGGGCATCACGTGTTTGCTTTTTATTTATTGTGGACAGCAAGGAATTGCGTGCTCTCTGTCATTTCGGTTTCTCGCCGTTGAGGCCTGACCTCGGAGTGGAAACCATTTCCTAGCTGGTCTGCTGATGCAGAAAATAAATAAAATACATAAAAGGATGAGGTACAAGGAAGATTGAGTGTTTCTGATGAGCCTGTAGTAGTTAGTAGGCAGGTTGCAATGTAGCTACTTTGGGAGGCCCGGTAAACATGCAGTAATTAGCTTGTGTTGTAGTTTTTTTAGCAGTTACTTTTCTTTCTAGTCTTCTGGTGGCAGTGTTGCTTTAAAATACCAGCCCAAACCTCCCATGGGTGAAGTGAAGTATTCTTGGTAATGTATGTTATAATCCAGTGAAAACTGTCCTCGTGGAGAAGAAAGGCAGCGTGCTCTACGGTTATTATGAAGATGTAATAGTGAAATTTGTGTGAGTTTTGGGAAGGATTGACTTTTACAGGATAATAAACAGTTTGAAAATTACTACCTTGATGCTCCATTACATGCTATCTCTCCTTTTTAACTTTGGGGGAAAAAGTTAATATTTAATTGTATAGATCACTACTGTTTGGGGATTATCCTTATTTCTTTGGAAGAAACAAGCCAAATTTACTTATACTTTAAGAAGGGCATATCAACACGAAGATCATTGATTTCATGTTGCAGCATAGGCCGTTACAGAAAGTCAACTCTTTGGCAATGCCAAGGAATTCGGAACTCAGTGCAAAGAGGAGACAGGATTGTCACAAGGTCGTTTCATTGACTTGTACCAAGGAAAGGAGACCGGATTCATGTCCAGAGCTCTGCCTCTTGGAAGGGAGTCTTAGCCTTTGCTTAAATACACTTCTTCGGTCATTTACATGTTGGTGTCTTCTCTGTGGTTGGCTGCACTATCCCCTTTAGGTTCCTGTCAAACTTACCTTGTTTACAGCTGTACCTGCAAAATGCTCTGCTACATTTTAACCTTTAGCAGCAATAACATTTAGTAATAGCCTTTAGAACACCTCAGGCCTTGAGACCCTTGTCCTAACCAACTTCGTAATGCTGACTCCCTTTCTTTAGTGCTTGCTGGCAGGGGGTCAGGTCACCTTTCAGATGTACAGTCAGGGAATAGCCCTTGAGCAGTCACATCTCTTTGAAACTCTCTTGGCTTCTAGAATACCACAGTATCTCAATTTTTAAGTCTCTTATGCACTACTTCACTCAAGTGCTGTGTTTTTCCTTCAACTGGTGTTCAAGAGTTAGAACCATCAGGCGCCTGACCCAAGTTCTCATCTTTTTACAACACAGTCTCTCCATGCTTCTCACTAGATACTGTTGCTTGAGACAATTTCAGCAGTCAGAAGAGACATGCCTCAGTCTCCTACAGTCTTATCTACACACTTCCTTGTAGCTGTGCCCATAATATTCTACTTTCTTCTCAGTTACAATGCACAAATTGTCTCTTTCTTATACCAATCCCTCCACATGCATATTAGATCCTATGCCCTCTTGCCTACTCAAAGATATTATTAATTCACCAATTCTGCTCCCTCCTTCCAGAATCGTTAGTTCTCTCCTTTCTACAGAATGCTGTATAGAAGCTTTTCTGACATTGTCAGAGAGAGGACATTCTAATTAGTTTGTTATTTATAAACTTAGTTGCTTCAAATTAGGTCATCATTTTTTACTCATGATACAATAAAACATTTCTCTTGGGAAAAGTGTGTCAGAATTTTTTATTATACACACAAATAGACAGCTGTAGTTAAATTTTAAATTATGCTGAACAAAATAAAATTTTTCTTTGGATTTGATAGGACCTCAGAATTTGTGTGTCTTAATAACTGTCATCGCGTCAATCAATTGGAAGTGACTATACTATGTGCTGGGTGTTCTAGATACTGATGATCCAGCTGTGAACAAGACACAATACTCATTCAGCCTCATTTGGATATTTATTGAAGACCTACCATGTGCAGCACTCAGTCTTGTGGGTACTTCTGATACAATGGGGGGGGGGGGGATATGACAGAAATCCTTGCCTTTATGGATGTAGATTTTAGTGGGGGAGAAGAATATAAACAAGATAGATAACTGAAATAAGTATGTTAGAAGGTGATATTTACTTTGGAGAAAAGCAGTGATGAGAATAGGAAGTGTTGGGCAGGATGCAGATGTTTAAATTTTAAATAGCTGGTCACTGAAGACCTCATGAGAGGGTGACTTAAATGAGATTGGAGAGTGAGATCCCTGCTGTCATGGAGATCCTATTAGAAAGAAGATGGATGAGTATACAAATTAGATAATTTCAGGTAACAAGTGCTTCTAAATCAACTGATGTGAAAAGAATGAGGGTGTGGTGAGACTATTTTGTGTTGTCAAAGAAGTTAGGTGAAATTTGATTATGACATGAAAGAAATATAGGAGTGAAATATAGGCAGAGAAAACTGCAAATGCAGAAGCCCTAGTACTGTTAAACATATAGAAGGCCAGCATGGCTAGAGCTTACAAATGAGTGTGATGTTAAGAGAATGAAGTTGGGGAGGCAGGTGGAAAGAGATTTATAAGATTTTATTCTAAATCAATGGGGAGTTCTATGTAGAGGGGTGGCTCCTTTGTGGAGAGTGGACTCTGAAAAGGAGCAGCAGGAGAAGCAGGGAGTTGATGGTGGCTAAGGCTGGTTTGGCCACATTGATGAGAAGTAGATTTGGAATATGATTGGGGATAGGATAGGACCTCCCATTGGAATGAGTGTGAGGGTTGAAAGAATTAGGAATAATTGCTTTGCTTATGCACCAATAGAGGTGCTGTTTATTGAAATGGAGAGGTCAGTCTTGGAGATTAAAAATAATGGAAATAAGTATGTGTATACACACACACACACACACACACACACACACACGGCATTTGACTTTTGCTAAGAACAGTCCTGTGATTTCAGGAGTCCCCAAAATTTAAAATGGTACTATGACAATAAAATGTCCTTTAAAGTGCAATTAAATATAATAACCACTATTTAAAGAGTCCTTAGCATCAGGCACTATCTCAGAGTGGTTTATTTGCATTACCTCATTTTAATCTTTAAGATGGCCTTATAAAGGCAGTACTATTATTTTCCTGATTTTGTAGAAAAGCTATACTTTGCTTTAGGTCACAGACCTGGTAAATTATTGGAGGAGTACTTAAACCTAGGGAGATGCGAATTTTCCTTCTCCCTTTCCTTTTCTGTCCTTACATAAACCTCTTCAGTATCCTATTATTTGTCAGCTCTGTTTTCACTTTTTTATATTGTCTATCTGCAACTATAAACAGTAAGTTGATTCTAAAAAAAATGGAGAAAATAATAAATAGCATTTATATTATAACTGTCGAGTGCTAGGCTAAGTAATGTGCTAGGATTTCAAGTCTTTTTTTGGAATCCGAAATCACAGCCCCTTTACCTTTTTTTTTTTTTTTTAATTAAATCTTTATTGTTCAGATTATTACATTTGTTCCTCTTTTTCCCCCCCATAACTCCCCTCCTCCCAGTTCCCGCCCCACCTTCCGCCCTCACTCCCCACCCACTGTCCTCATCCATAGGTGCACGATTTTTGTCCAGTCTCTTCCCGCATCTCCCACACCCCTTTCCCCCCCAAGAATAGTCAGTCCATTCCCTTTCTATGTCCCTAATTCTATTATAATCAACAGTTCATTCTGTTCATCAGATTATTTATTCACTTGATTCTTAGATTCACTTGTTGATAGATGCATGTTTGTTGTTCATAATTTGTATCTTTACCTTTTTCTTCCTCTTCCTCTTCTTAAAGGATACCTTTCAGCATTTCATATAATCCTGGTTTGGTGGTGATGAACTCCTTTAGCTTTTCCTTATCTGTGAAGCTCTTTATCTGACCTTCAATTCTGAATGATAGCTTTGCTGGATAAAGTAATCTTGGTTGTAGGTTCTTGGCATTCATCACTTTGAATATTTCTTGCCACTCCCTTCTGGCCTGCAAAGTTTCTGTTGAGAAATCAGCTGACAGTCGTATGGGTATTCCCTTGTAGGTAACTGAGTTTCTTTCTCTTGCTGTTTTTAAGATTCTCTCTTTATCTTTTGCTCTTGGCATTTTAATTATGATGTGTCTTGGTGTGGTCCTCTTTGGATTCCTTTTGTTTGGGGTTCTCCGTGCTTCTTGGATCTGTAAGTCCATTTCTTTCACCAGGTGGGGGAAGTTTTCTATCATTATTTCTTCAAATAGGTTTTCAATATCTTGCTCTCTCTCATCTTCTGGCACCCCTATAATTCTGATGTTGGTACGCTTGAAGCTGTCCCAGAGGCTCCTTACACTATCCTCGCATTTTTGGATTCTTTTTTCATTTTGCTTTTCCGGTTGGGTGTTTTTTGCTTCCTCGCATTTCAAATCATTGACTTGATTCTTGCGCTCCTCTGGTCTGCTGTCGGGAGTCTGTATGATATTCGTTATTTCAGTCCGTGTATGCTTAATTTCTAGTTGGTTCCCCAATATAGCATCGAGGGTCTCATTAGTTTTCTTGTAGATCTCATTAAGTTTATCGGCGGCTTCTAAACAGTTCTTGAGAGACCTTAAAAGTGTGGTTCTGAACTCTATATCTTCCATTGACAATTTTGTCCTGTTTCTTTGTCTCCGCATTTTGTTATGCTTCCTTGGTGCACCCCCTAGTGGTCTTTGTTCGCAGTCTTATAATTAAACCTTGATTGTTGTAGCTAATACCAGGGAGGGTTTGACCTCCAGGCCAGGTGGCTATGAGAATCAGCTGTGTCTGCAGTGAGAGAACTTCTGTCCTCTAGGGAGGTGCTAATCTAGCCTTTGCCTGAGGCTATCCGGCAAAAGCCTCTGTGCAGGGCTTGGGCGGGGCGGGTCGCACAGGATCAACAGGGTGGGCCGGAGAGAGCAGTTATGGCGGCTCTCAGTCCTGTCCCCAGGGGCTCTGCCTCTCTGAGTCCCAGCACCCGCTGCAAAGCTCGGAGAGAAAGCTGCACTCGCTCTGACCGAAGCCAGACTGTCCCGCTTCTCCCGTTTGAGTCTGGGTCGCTAAAGACTCGCCCGGATCTGGAGCTCAGAGTCTGCAACTCCCTCCCGATTGAAAACGCCAACCGCGCCCTCCACCGCCAGCCCGCTCGCGCACTCCGCACCTCAGAATTTGACTTCAGCACTGTGCCTCCTCTGAGTGTCCGTATGCGTTTCTCTTTCCTCCTAGTTGTAGGACTTCCACTCAGCCAGCGTTCCTGTGGTTCTGGGTGATGTCCCTTCCGTCTTTTAGTTTCACTTTTGAAGTAGTTGTTCAAAGCAGCAAACTCCGGCGTTAACCTATGCCGCCATCTTGGTTTCTCTCGTGGGTTGCCTTTTCATTTTGTTCCCCTTTACCTTTTGAAGGATGATACTTTCCAGTGTCGGCATCAGCTTGATAGTATCCTATATGATAAAAGGCTAATATGCAAATTGACCAAACAGTGGAACAACTGGTTGCTATGACGCACACTGACCACCAGGAGCAGATGCTCAACACAGGAGCTGCCCCCCTGGTGGTCAGTGCACTCCCACAGGGGGAGCGCCGCTCACCCAGAAGCCAGGCTCACAGCTGGTGAGCGCAGTGGCAGTGGCGGGAGCCTCTCCCATCTCCATGGCAGCCTTAAGGATGTCAGACTGATGGCATCGCTGCGCAGGGAGCGGGCCTAAGCTGTCAATTGGACATCCCCCAAGGGCTCCTGGACTGCGAGAGGGTGCAGGCTGGGCTGAGGGACCCCCCTGCCCCTGTCTCCCCAAGTGCACGAATTTCGTGCACCAGGCCTCTAGTATATTATATGAAGGTTTTTGTATGTCGACAATTGTAAACTGGTATTAAAGTATGCATAGATAATTTGTATTCATTAAAAATTTTTTTCCTTCTGTAGATATCATTAATGGGATTGGAAATTTTAAGTGCCTTTGTGGACAGATTATCAACACGATTTAAGTCCTACGTAGCAATGGGTAAGTTAACTTTATTTATTTAAAAATCATTGTAGGCCCAGCTGGTGTGGCTCAGTGGTTGAGCGTTGACCTATGAACTAGGAGGTCACGGTTCAATTCCCAGTCAGGGCACATGCCTGCGTTGTGGGCTCGATCCCCGGTGTGAGGGGTGCATGAGGTAGCTAGCTGATCAGTGATTCTCTCTTATCATTGATGTTTCTATGTCTCTCACCCTCTCCCTTCCTCTCTGAAATCAATAAAAATATTTTTTTTAAATAAAATAAAAATTATTGTAGGTTTTGACATACTGGTTTTTTTTTTCATAGTTTTTGTTTAACAAAACTGTAAATGCAAAAAATGTAATTTTGTACAACTCGGAGATCTGCTAAGTAGCATTATAGTTTACCTGGACATAAAAAACTTGAAGCATATTCAAATAGATAATTATATTCCTTTTGAGACAAAGAAACAGAAGCAAGAAGCTTACTAAGTATAGTGATAATAGATTCTTACTTTATATTTTCAAAATTTTTACTATATTTTTACTCTTTTTGTAACATATTAAAATTTATAATATAACTTATAGCACCACTTTTCAAGCTTTCTATGGTGAAGGACTAGTTCTTTCACTGCTCGTTTGTTGCAGACCAATTTTGTAAAATGCAATAAAAATAGGTTATAGCAAAATGAAATGAAAAAATCCAAGGCCCAATTTGTTATTATTAGATTTAACAAACAAAATTACTTTGGTCAGATTGTTTTAAAAACTTTATTTTATAAACACTCTCAATTTTTCTTACTGCAGACAATTTGTAGATTGGTCCTGGGCTACCAGCCATACTTTGAACAGCACTTACTTACAGTGTGTTTGCAAAGAAGAGCATTATACCAGTACAATGCTCTTCTTTGTGTGGTAGTTAGGATTACAGAGTTGGCTCTGACCTATTTTCTAAACCTGAGTGACCTTCATATACCTTTGGAGTGCTTTGGTGAGTGGATTTCGTTCCTATTATATAGAAACATTTAAGGGTAACCTCAGATGTTTGTTAATCTCTCCTATGGATTAAGTGAATGTCTCATAATGTATCATCACACTTATTTTTGAATTATCTTTGGTCAGCTTTTTTCTTCATGTTTTGTGTGCCATCAAATTCTGCCAGTTTCCACTTTTATTTTTATCGTCTAGCTATCCTTTCAGCAGAAGCATCTTAGTGAGTTTCCCTATCTTTATTGCTCCTTTTTAAATTAATTCCTGGTTCCAATTCATTCTCTGTGGGGTATCTTCTGAAAAGATTTTTTTTTTTTTACTACATCAGTCTCCTGCTTAAAATCCTAGGATAGGTTTTTAAATCTTTGCTCTGTGAACGTTTTATTTATGTATTTTCTTAAAACATATTGAATCAATGTTTAACATTAGGAAGTTTTACATAAAAAATCATATTTATGATTTGTTTATGAAAGATTGGCCAATGTGGCAACCCCAACCTTGTATTCCCACATGTAATTATTGGTTGAAGCTGTGTTGTAGCTTCCCTTTTGTCTGGATCATGAGCTTTTCAGTTCCTAAGTTCTTCCCATCTCCTCTTGTCTCCTCAAAACTGAGAATGTCAGTTATAATACAGCAAGGTGGGAATACTGTAGTTCTTAGATATGGTTCATTTTCTGTATTTCCCATACCTCTTTGGCTGTAGGTGTTTATGTTTGTGACCCCTGCCCTATAGTAGCTCCTGTTATTAGTTGTTACAGACAATAGTTAGACTTGAGAGTAATTCTAGGCATTACATATATCACTTATTTTTCAGACGCAAAGAAGGCCAGATGGGGTTTAATGTACTGACTAGTCACATTGAGGCAGTGGGATTAAATGAGATAATTCAGTTCTTAGTATATAATTATATCTAACATGAAGGTTTATTATTGTCCTGGACTGCCTCTCAGACGCTATCAGAACCAGAGTCCCACAGTAGCTAATTCTACAGATGTTGATGAATTTCTCTAGTGTTAACAATACATCTAAGCAAGATGAGAAGGATTTACATTGTTCCAATTGTCAGGTACTTGTGTTGCCTCATGATTAGGCTTATGATTATAATGAGGACTTCTTGTTTTATTACACAATCATTTCCTTAATTAAGCCTAAATATTGGAATGGTATCACTCCATTTGGTATAGTTGGCTTCTCACTCTAATCATTTCCTACCAAAAGGAATGTAATTTCTTTTCTCCTTAAGTGTTGTTGAGCTTGCTTTTCAGTTATATTTTATTAGAGTCATGAATAAAGAAGTAAAAACAGCCCTAGCAGGTTTGGCTCAGTGGATAGAGCATTGGCCTGTGGACTGAAGGGTCCCAGGTTTGATTCCGGCCAAGGGCACATGCCTGGGTTGCGGGCTCAATCCCCAGTAGGGGATGTGCTGGAGGCTGCCAATCAATGATTCTCATCATTTTTGTTTCTCTCTTTCTCTCTCTCTCTCTCTCTCTCTCTCTCTCTCTCTCTCTCTCTCTCTCTCTCTCCCTCTCCCTTCCTCTCTGAAATCAATAAAGAAATATATATATATTTTTAAAGAAGTGGAAACAATTTGCGTACTTCATAACTTTTAATTTATGAAAACAATTACTATTTGTAATTTTGTAAAATATAGCTTATTTATTCTTTTTCCTCTCTTTCTAGTTATTGTAGCTTTAATAGACAGACTGGGAGATGCCAAAGACAAAATTCGTGATGAAGCTCAGATTCTGCTCTTGAAGTTAATGGACCAAGTAGCACCACCGATGGTAGGCCTACATTTAAAATTCCTATTTTGCTAATTATTGATGAAATATCAGTAAGGATAGATGGTAATCACAGCAACTCATTCCCCAGGGGACATGAAAGCTGAAATTTTAAACAATTAATTGTTGCTAGTGCTTTAAAGAAGTTGAAATTTAAGATTAAATATCTATATTTTACTTTTTGTTCTGTTTTTTACTCAAATGCTTTTTTAGAAAGCTAACTCGGAGATTTTAGTGACCTGACAGTATACTGATAATATTATTTTTTAGGATTTTTAGTTTTTCCTTACCTGCATTATTATAAAATGTTCAGTGCAGAAGCTTATTTTGAGAAATACTGAATGTTATGTTAATTTCTGCAATTCTTACAAAGACAGGAAGAAATTTTTTTATTTTAACAAGTAGTTGCTAATTGTATAAGGTATATCGTTTATGACAGTGGCCTGTATTTTATGAATACAGTAAAAAAAATTGCCCTTATGTGGAATTGTTTTGAAAGAAGCAGAAATTAGTTGACATGTACACAAACATTTAAAGAGTAGCCCATGTTAAGTACAAAAAGATCAGAATTTGCAATACACATAATGATATTACGTGTTATCATTTAAAATACTGTTTAAAAATTATAATATTACATGATTCATTAAAAAACCAAGGAGTATTGCTTTGTAAAAGTAAACTGTTTTCCCAGATTGAACCAAAGTCCTTGTTAATAATATGGTGGATATCCTTCAATCCTTGGTCAGTGTTCAAATTTTAACTTGTTTTTGATGCTATTATCACAAATAGTACTATAGGAAACATCATTGTACATGTATCTTTGGACATAACTGTAAGTATACATATAGAATAATGTTCCAGAGGTGGTGTTACAGAGTCAGGTTTGTTTTGTTTTGTAAGCTTCCAAGTTACCTTCTAGAAAGTTTGACAGAGAGTGAGTGAGAGAAGAGAGAAATATATTAGTAGAACTGAATACAGAGTTCAGAAAGAATAGAGTCCAGGGAAAGGTGTGTGTGTGTACACACTTGAATTTAATAAATTATATTTCTAAATGTGGAGAAAGAATTGATGAGGACAATTGGCCATATAGCTGGAAAAATAAAGTTGGGTTTCTTTTTATACCAAACTCATGTAATTGTTTTGGATTATTTGTATAGGTTTATCTATGCTTTTTCTAAAATAAATTATAGTGGTTAGCAATAAAATGACTTGCTCAAATATGTTTCTGTATTTGGATCCAATTTTAAAAGAAGAAAAGCCTGAATTCTAAAATGTTGAAAAAGCCTGTTCCATGTGACAGTCTGTAGTAGTTGCTAGGCAACATTGGACCTTTTAAATGCTTACTGGACTATTGGACTTATAATGGTAGCATTGTTGTTGAAGATTTCTAAAGTTTAGAACAAATTCTGTCCTTGGAAATTCTAATGGTTTTGGATGTTGGACATAGTTTTTCTGAGAATAATTAAATCTAAAGTGAAATATATGAAATAAAAAGTAAAAAATGTAATTAAGATATTAAAAATTGGGTGAGAGCAACATCAGTGAAAATTTGGCTTAGAAAAACTTGTAGAGAGTGAATAGTCTAAGGAGAAAATTCATTTACCAATAAGATTGGTAAGTTTGAGAATAGATAAAATATTTTAACATGAGTAATTTAATATTTTGTTATACATGTTTACTTTTCTTTCAAATAGCACATTTGGGAACAGTTGGCTTCTGGTTTTAAGCACAAGAATTTTCGATCTCGAGAAGGCGTGTGTCTGTGTCTTATTGAAACCTTAAACATGTAAGTTTTATGATTACTGAAAACAGCTGCCTGTGTTTTTCATTTTTCTTAAAAAAGTAATATCCATTTCACAGAGCTTGAGGAGAGCTATGGAAATAAATTTTAAGTAGTTATTAACTGATCTCTAGTACAAGAGTTTTTATTTTATTTGATACCTTCGTTAATTTTTTGTTATCTTTCAGGTTGTTAATTTAAAATTATTAGTTATAAGAAGTGTTTTTCTTTTTTTTCTTTAGCATGTTAATAGTTGCTCCCCAAAGTAGATGGTAATATAGCAAATATGTTTATGTAACTTAGGATCTACTTCTGTTCTGGACCTAGTTTGGAACTGGTTTTAACTCAGTGGTATTTCATATATTGTAGCCATTTCCCCACCTGGGCTTTCTAGAACAGTGTGGGTGGTTTTGAAAATCATAGACTGAACAAGACTCCCAGGTAACTAGACAGTGAATCTGGTAGCTGTGTGCAGAGTTCTGACAGCATAGATGCCACAGGGCTCAGAGCTCCAATCTGAAGAAATTGTAAAGTGTAGTTTTGTTCTCTTTCTGGATTAATTTTTTAAGTTCTGTGCAACAAGATAGGTAATATATAGTAGCTTTCAACTTTTCCTGTAATGTTACTTCTTTTCCTCTAACTATACCTTCATTTATTTTCTTTTATTCCTCTATGGTCCTTTCTGCCATCTAGAGCTTGTAAGTGCATTCAGTCTGCACAACTTTTGTGTTTTTTGGCTCTCCTGTCATTTGCTTTCAACCCATGACCTCACCAAAAATTAATACGTAAATATTTTATTGGAATGCAAATTTGAGATCCAGAGTCTAAAAATAAATCACTATTTTCAAACAAAAGCTCAAATTTTCTTTAGTCATTGAGAGTTTGCCCGGTTTAAGAGTGCCATTGGTTGAACATTTTGCTCTGTTGGATCTTGTATTGACAATTTCATTGTTAGTCATGATTACTCAAGTTTGCATATTTGACATTGTTTAGAATTAGTTTTTGCTTGTGTCTCATACCTTCATGTTTTAATGATGTGTGCCCATGCTCTCTACCATATCTGTCTTATTAATACAGACAAGAAGAAAGCAGAGGATATTTGTTTACTGTTTGATTAAAACCAAATTCTCTTTATTTTTTTCAAATTATATTTAGTTTTGGAGCTCAACCACTAGTCCTCAGCAAGTTGGTACCACATTTGTGTATCCTATTTGGAGATTCCAACAGTCAGGTAAAATTTTATTTACATATTTAAGTGTTGACTAATTTTTTGGCTACAGCTTCTTTGTTAGTGCTCTTAGTCGATATTATTTTTATTTTTAAATTTATCTTTATTATTGGAAGTATTACAGATGTCCCCTTCTTAGTCTATTTTAAAAAGAAAAAGAAGAAGAGAGGGTAGAAAGGGGTTAGTGAAGATTTCCCCTCATTTTTTTAATTTAAAATCCACCAAAGTTAGTTTTTAAGAACATATCATATTCACTTAAGTTGCTTAAGTTTGTTAGTTGTTAGCTAGTATTAAGGATAGATTGGACTTTTAAAGCATAATTCTTTTTTTTTTTTTTAAATATATTTTATTGATTTTTTTACAGAGAGAAAGGGAGAGAGATAGAGAGTTAGAAACATCGATGAGAGAGAGACATCGATCAGCTGCCTCCTGCACACCTCCCACTGGGGATGTGCCCGCAACCCAGGTACATGCCCTTGACCGGAATCGAACCTGGGACCTTTCAGTCCGCAGGCCGATGCTCTATCCACTGAGCCAAACTGGTTTTGGCCATAATTCTTTTTTTTTCTCTTTCTTTTTAATTTTCACGTCAGGATAATTTTTTCATTGATTCTAGAGAGCGGGAGAGAGAGAGGAAATCACTCATCAGTTGCCTTTTGTACGCACCCGAACTGGGATTGAACCTGCAACATGGGGTGTGCCCTGACCAGGGATCGAGTCCTTGACTCTTTGGTGCTTGGGACAACGCCCCAACCCACTGAGCCACACTGGCCAGGGCTCAAGTATAGCTCTTGAGTCTGAAAAATTGAGTAACAAGTAACTTGGATTCCCTTCTGTGGTCCTGGGTATTAACTGTGAGAGCAGGTTGTCAGTTCCCTTTGTTTCTGAGTGGCATAACAACGACTTTTTTGCAACAGTCAAAACCAGGGGTCCTCAGACTACGGCCCGCGGGCCACATGCAAATACAAATATTGTATTTGTTCCCGTTTTGTTTTTTTACTTCAAAATAAGATATGTGCAGTGTGCATAGGAATTTGTTCATAGTTTTTTTTTAAACTATAGTCCGGCCCTCCAACGGTCTGAGGGACAGTGAACTGGCCCCCTGTTTAAAAAGTTTGAGGACCCCTGGTCAAAACCATACTTAACAGGGAATTTGTGCCAGTGGTCTATCACTTGTTAGACATTTTTTTACCTGAGCTTCATATACTGTAGGCATAATACAGGGATATGTTCTGGATCCCATCCCTTCTAGTAGAGTTGAATCTTAGTTGTAACCTTTTTGGCACAGCTTGTGCATTTGGAAATACCCTGCATAAGGTTTTCCCTGCTTTTAGTCCCTAGCTAGCTGCTCCTCTGGAGGTTTGTAAGAAGTTCTGTCTCTTCATTTGCTCTCTGACAGTGAACTCTGCAGGGAAATTAGAGCTAGCTGTCTTCCAAATTCCCGTCTTTAGGCCACATTTTTTCTCTTTTAATTGTGGTAAAATATACACAACATAAAATTTACTATTTCAACCATTTTAAACTGTACAGTTTATTGGCATTAAGTACATTCATTGTTGTGCAGCCATCACCACCATCCATCTCCAGAACTTTTTCATTTTACCAAATAGAAACTGTCTTCCCATTAAACAGTAACTCCGCATCCCCTCCAACTCCTCAGTTCCTCACAATTATATTTTACTTTCTCTCCATAGGAATTTGACTACTCTAGGTAACTTCATAAAAGTGGAACCATAAAATATTTGTACTTTTGCATCTAGCATATTTTACTTAGTATAATGTCTTCAGGGTTCATTCATGTTGCAGCATGTGTCAGAATTTCCTTTTTAAGCCCTGACCGGTTTGGCTCAGTGGATAGAGTGTCGGCCTGCGGACTGAAGGGTTCCAGGTTCGATTCCAGTCAAGGGCATGTACCTTGGTTGTGGGCACATCCCCAGTACGGGGTGTGCAGGAGGCAGCTGATCGATGTTTCTCTCATCGATGTTTCTAATTCTCTATCCCTCTCCCTTCCTCTCTGTAAAAAATCAATAAAATATATTTAAAAAAATAAAATAAAATAAAAGCAATAAAAAGCATGTCTTCAGTTGAGAAAAAAAAATTATTTAAAAAAAAAAAGAATTTCCTTTTTAAGACAATACTATTTCATTGTATGTATATACCATTTTTTAAAATCCATTCATTCATGCATGGATATGTGGGTTATTTCCACTTTTTGGCTATTTTGAATAATGATATTGAGAACATTGGTGTATAAATATCTGTTTGTGCTCAGGCCATATTCTTTTTTGTTGTTAATCCTCACCCGAGAATATTTTTTCCATTGATTTTTAGAGAGAGTGGAAGGGAGGGGGAGAAGAGAAACATCAATGTGAGAGAGACATATCAATTGGTTGCCTCCCACACATGCCCAAAGGGGACTGGGGATTGAGCCTACAACTGGGCTACATGCCCTTGAATGGAATGGAACCCACAACCCTTCAGTCTGCGGGCCGACACACTAACCACTAAACTAAACTAGTTAGGATCAGGCCACATTCTTGAAAGGCAGGAAAATGTATTAACCGTGGCAATGATTTGTATTCATTATTGGCATTGCTTATACAATCTTATTACAAAAAGAAGACTTTTTAAAAGCCACTTTAATAACTTTTATTTACATGTTTTTTAGATTTTTGTAAAACCTTTTACAAGGTTTCTCTAGAGCAGCGGTTCTCAACCTGTGGGTCGCCAACCTGTGGGTCACCACCCCTTTGGGGTCGAACAACCCTTTCACAGGGGTCGCCTAAGACCATCGGAAAACACATATATAATTACATATTGTTTTGTGATTAATCACTATGCTTTAATTGTGTTCAATTTGTAACAGTGAAAATACATCCTGCATATCAGATATTTACATTACAATTCATAACAGTAGCAAAATTACAGTTATGAAGTAGCAATGAAAATAATTTTATGGTTGGGGGTCACCACAACATGAGGAACTGTATTAAAGGGTCGGGGCATTAGGAAGGTTGAGAACCACTGCTCTAGAGGTTTCTTGGCATTCCTCTTTTGCGTGTGTTTTGTTGTTGTTGTTGTTGTTAATAACCTGCCAGAATCTCTTAGGAGTTTAGAGATACTAAAACCAACTTGGAGCTTCAAGTTTGTCTTCCTGTGTAATGCTACCTTGATGTGAAGTATTTTATTGTATCTCATATATTTTTTTTAAAGTTCTGAATTCTTTGGCAGGTGAGAGATGCTGCAATATTGGCTATAGTGGAGATTTATAGACATGTGGGAGAGAAAGTAAGAGTGGATCTTTCTAAGAGAGGAATTCCCCCTGCTAGGTAAGTCTTACTAAATTTTTGCCATTGATTTAAAAAGTTCTAATTTTATGTGTTAAGTTGGATCCAGTTTTTTGAAATGTTTTGAAATTCAAAATATACAAGAGGATATATAGGTTATCACCACTTAAAAAGCTCTTCGCCGTAGCTGACTTGGCTCAGTGGATAGAGCATCAGCTTGCAGACCAAAGGGCCCCGGGTTCGATTCCAGTCAAGATCACATGCCCGGGGTTGTGGGCTCAATCCCCACTAGGGGGTGTGCAGGAGGCAGCCAGTCAATGATTCTTTCTCATCATTGATGTTTCTCTCTCTCTCTCTCTCCCCCTCTCCCTTCCTCTCTGAAATCAATAAAAATATATATTTTTTTAAAAGTAATCTTTTTGGACACTGTTTCATTATATGCACACATGTTATTTACTTATTTAGAGAGAGAAACATTGGTTGCCACAACCACAGCCCCCCCCCCCCCCCCCCCCCGCCCTGTATGCTCCCCAGCTGGGGATTGAACTCACAACCCAGGTATGTGCCTGATTGGGAATCTAACCCACAAACTTTTGGTGTATGGGACAAGGTTTCAACGCACTGATCCCACCCAGCCAGGGTGTAGGTAACTATCTTTTGATACCAGGCAGTATGGTCATAATTTGGAAGATGGCTGGAGCAAGGATTTAGTAAAAATAGTAATCCATTCATTAATTATTTTTTGAGTACCTGCTGTTGAAAGGTACTATACAAGATACTGGCTAACAGAAAACTATGTAAGAATCAATCATTACCCTTAAAACCTAGTGAAATAAAAAAGAAGATCCTGAATCAGCAGAGTAGCAGCAATCAGGTTAACAACATTCCTCTTGAGGAGCTTCCAGTGTATCAGAACTTTTTTTTTTCAAAGATACTTTTTTCTATACTACTTCTTAGAGTTTATATTTTTATTTAAGACATTATTCCAGTTAGATTTTCTTTTTGTAATGAAATTTTAGATTTCAAGAGAGGAAGGGAAAGGAAGAGAAAAAGAGAAACATCAGTGAAGAGAGGGAATTATTGATTGGCTGCCTCCTGCACACCGCCTACTGGGGATCGAGCCCACAACCCCGGGCATGTGCCCTGAGTGGAATCGAACCCAGGACCCTTCAGTCCGAAGGCCAATGCTCTATCCACTGAGCAAAACCAGCTAGGGCTTACCTTTTTATTATGGAAAATTTCAAACATATTAAACAGAATAGTACAATGAAACTTCATGTACCCCCTGCCCAGTTTCAGCAGTTAACAACTGTGGCCAGTTTTGTATGTTATACCCTTACCTACTTACTTTTGTACTGTATTATTTTGAAGTAAATCCAAGTCGTCATAACATTTCCTCTGTAATTATCCTATATTAGAGACCCGGTGTGCGAAATTCGTGCAAGGGGCTTGGCCCCTGCCGCTGCCACAGCTGCCTCTGCCTCGGCCCCTGCTGCCGTGGCTTCATCTGAAAGGTCATCAGGAAGGACATCCAGTCTAATTAGCATATTATGCCTTTATTTATTATAGATAATAAAAGGGGGAGCGCCGCTCAGGCAGTGCTAAGGAGCAGCGAGCCTGGCTTCTGGCTGAGCGACGCTCCCACAGAGGGAGCGCGGTTCAGCCAGAAGCCAGGCTCATGGCTCGAAAGCGCAGCGGTGGTGGTGGGAGCCTCTCCCGCCTCCGCTGCAGGCGGGCAGTAAAGTAAAGAGCGAGGGGTCCCACACTGCAAGAGGGATGTCTGACTGTTGGCTTAGGGAGTGGGCCTAAGCTGCCAGGTGGACATCCCCCAAGGGGTCCCAGACTGTGAGAGGGTGCAGGTGGGGCTGAGGGGACCCCCTCCCCTCCCCCAGTGCCCGAATCTCATGCACGGGGCCTCTAGTTTAATATATTTCTTAAGGGGGAAAAATATTTTTTTCAATTACAACCACAATACTATCTTCAAACCTTACATTTCTTTATAAATAATTCTGTAAAATCAAATATGCAGTCAAGGTTCAAATTTCCAGTTGTTTTTCAAATGTCATAAGTACCTATGTATTTTTGGTAGTTTGTTTGAATCAGTATCCAAATAAAGTCCAACAGTTAGTTGATATGTTTTATGTCTTTTTAAATCTTCATGTAGACCCAGCATTTATTTATTTATTTTTTTGCCTTGTATTTTATTTTATGAATATGTCTAGTAGTTTATCTTATAAAGTTTCCCATATTCTGGGTATTGCTAATTCTTTTCCTGTGGTGCAGTTTAACATGGTCTTCTGTCTTTATATCCTGTAAATTGGTAGTTGGATCTGGAGACTTGATTAGTTTTTTGGCAGGGGGTATTAAGAGGAGCAAAACTATTTCATAGGTGGTTGTGTGTTTTATTATCATAAATATTACATCTGGCTATCTTTTACTATGTAAGATTTTTTTCAAGTGCTAATTTTTTGGTGATAAGGTTGTCCAATAAATAAGTATTTTGCTTGCTTATTCACTAATTTGCTTTCTGCTTGTAGGGCTAACAAGAATTTCATTTGAATATATTCTATATTATTTTAAGAGGATGAAAGAAATCATGTTACCACATATATTTATGTGTGAGAGTGTATGTGGGGTGGAGCAGAAGTAGTTATACTGTCATTCATGTGGAAAAGAATGCAATAATAAATAATATAAGAATAAACTATGTTTTGGGTACTCACAACTGTAAACCTACTTTTGCCCCACCCTAAATATATATGTATATATGTGTTATATACATATTATATATAATAAATTATGTATTTTAAATTTTTTATTGAAATTATTTTTCTTTTATTTTAAATTTTTATGCAAATATGACATCCATACAGAAAAGTACATAAATCATAAGTATGAAGCTCTGTAAATTATCACAAAGTGAATTCACCCATGTATCCATCATGCAAGTGAAGAAGAAGAATATTATAACATTCCAGAAGCCTCCCCAAATCCATTTTAATCCTTCCCTTTTCTCTCCTTCTGAAAAGTAACTACAATTCTGACTTCTATTACCATAGTTCAGTTTTGCCCGTTTTTAAATTTTATATAAATGGAATCATATAGTGTATACTTTTTTATATCTGGCTTCTTTCAGTTAATATTATGGTTTTGTAGGGGTTTTTTTAATGTATTTTTTTATTGATTTCAGAGAGGAAGGGAGAGGGAGAGAGATAGAAACATCAATGATGAAAGAGAATCATTGATTGGCTGCCTCTGTATGCCCCACATGGGGGATCAAGCCCACAACCAAGGTACATGCCCTTGACCAGAATCGAACCTGGGACCCTTCAGTCCACAGGCCGATGCTCTATCCACTGAGCCAAACCGGCCAGGGCAGTAATTATGTTTTTAAGATACATTTGTATTGTTGGGTTCAGCTACAGTTGTTCATTTTCATTGCCTTATAGTTTTCCATTGTGTGAGTAGGCCATACTTAATTATTCCATACTGTTGATAGACTTTTGAGTTGTTTTTTAATTTGTAGCTTTATGAATAATTCTGTTCAAAGCATTCTTATACGTTTCTCTTGGTGTATGAATATATTCGTCCTCTTGGAATATATCTGAGTGGAATTGCTGGGCCATCTATAATAATAAAAGCGCAATATGCTAATTAGACCAGATGTCCTTCCGGACAAAGCCGCAGCAGGTGGTGGCTGGGGCCAGGGCCATGACCCTTGCATGAATTTCATGCATCGGGCCTCTAATAGGGTATATTTACCTTTAGTTGATATTGACAGTTTTCCAGGGTGGTTGTACCTATTTATATTCTTACTAGCACTATTTGCAAGTTGCCATTCTACATTTTCACTGATACTTGTTACTCTTATTAATTTAGGTTTCTGGTTCATATATCCTCATATGGTTCTAATCTGCACTTTTCTGATTACTAATAAAGAAGAGCACCATTTCAAATTTATCAGTTATTTAGGTATGTTCCTGTAAAGTGTGTTTTCAGGTCTCTTGCCCATTTTAAAAAATTGGGTGGTCTGTCATTTTATTTTATTATTTTTTAATATATTTTGTTGATTTCAGAGAAGGGAGAGAGAGATAAAAACATCAAGGATGAGAGAGAATCTTTGATTGACTGCCTCCTGCACGCCCCCTATTGGGGATCGAGCCTGCAACCCTGGCATGTGTCCTGACTGGGAATCAAACCCTGACCTCCTGGTTCATAGGTTGATGCTCGGTCCCTGAACCACGCAGGCCCGGCATGGGTGCTCTATCATTTTAAAAAATTGATTGGTAGGACTTTTTAAAATACATTCTAGATATAAGCCCATTGTTAGCTATATATATGTTTCAGATATATTCTCCTACCCTGTCACTTGCCAGTTTGGTTTCTTGATGTCTCTTGGTGTGAATAGGTCTTAATTTTAATGTAGTTCTTAGTCATTTCCTTTATGATTAAACACGTTTTGTGTCTGGTTTAAAAAAATCTTTGCCTTCTTTGTCGTGAAGACATTCTCTGTGTAATTGTTTTGAAGTTTTATTTATAGTTAGGTTTATTGTACACATGGGATATTTTTTTAATGGTGTGAGATAGAGGTTCAGATACATTTTTTCCCCCTATGGATATCCACTTGACCCAGTACCACTTATTAAAAACATTTTTCTTCAATGTTCGTTTTGTTATAAATTAAGTGTCCACATATGTGCTTAGGATTTTTGCGTTATGCTCAAAATAAAATTGGCCTACAATATTCCTTTCTTCTTAAGTTATATTAGTAATTTTAGCCTCATAGGGATTTTATCATATGTGGATGGCTTATACTTTAATGTCCTTACTGAAATACACCAGCAACTTATTAATCGTACTCTTACCTGTGGCTTCTCTCCTAAGTGGCTAGCCACTTGGCAGATGAAGACTCTGAGACCCAGAGTAGTGACAGCTAGTTGGTGAGAACCTGAAGGCTTCCTGACTCTCAGTTCATAGTTCTTTCCTCTGTGTTACGCTTGTGTCAGTCTTCTCTATGCTGTTTCTCTAACTAGGTGCTGCAGGATGGGCAGGACTACATGGGTACAAGGCGTGTACAATTGGGTTTTTCAACCACGCAGCGTGTTCTCTACTCTTTTAGCACATGACCTCATTCTTTATAGGTAGTATTTTGAGTCTTCAAAATACTGGACACATTTCTGATATGAATGAATTTTGCTTTACCCATTTCTTCAGATTATTGTTCCACTAACTATTGCCCTCTTTCATCTAGCATTTATTCGCAAGAATTCAATATAGTCAATTAAATATAATAAATTCTGTGTAATATCCTGAATATTGTAATTGTTTGAAAATTAGATTATTTTTTTCATAGTGGTCATATTCTGCTCAGTGGAGCAGTCAGAACACAAACAGCATTTATCTGTTAAGTTCCTTGTTTTATATGGGCCCAGTTTGATTTCTCTGGTTTTATGTTTCCTTAACATGGTTCTGTGTACTTTTTAAGGGTGTATTGGTGACTGAGTGGATTCATTATAAAGTTGGAACTGAAGTATTTTTGACGGATTCGAGAAATAATTTTATGATGAAACATGGGAAACTGCTTTGTGTTAAAGTTACCATTTCACAGATATGCCTACAAGTGTGGAGAGTGCTATCTGTATTTGGCTGGTTCTGTCAACTGAAGAGAGATGGGTTTTGTCTTTTTTTCAGTAAGTGAGTTCATTGTAAAAGAGAGATGTATAGACCTAACTAAATCCCTGGAATTGTTTTTTTCTCAGGGAGATGGTGAAAGGAATTGTTCCTCATTAAAGTGTATGTAAAACAAACAAAATGTATTCTTTATTCCCAGATTAGAAATGATATTTGCCAAATTTGATGAAGTGCAAAATTCAGGCGGTATGATTTTGAGTGTCTGCAAAGGTAAGAATAATTAAATTATTCTGGTTCTTAAACATTTCTAAGATTATTAACAAACTTTTAGACACTAAAATATGTTTTCAAGTCAACTGTTACATCAGATTTGATTTTGTGATTTAAAACTTAGGATATAATAATAAAGTCTTTATATCCTGCTGGCCATTTGCACTTACTTAGAATAAGTGAAAATTAATAATGGGTGTACTCTTTTGTGCAAAATGATCCTGTTCTTTTGCCTATGTTTTGTATCTTCTGGGTTGAAGATATGGTGACCTTCTTGTCCTCTACGTTTCATGCATGGAATGTGTTTTTTATTCCCATAGTAACTGTTTTACTTTGTTGTTTTTAGTAGAAATTGTGGGGTTGATGGGCTCTATTACACCTATGTGTAGACTACCAGTGATGACACTGGTGAAGAAACACAGACGTAGGAACTTTACCAACATAATTATCTTTGGCTTCTGAATTAGAAGTTGAAGTTAGTATGTGGCGTTTATTTGATTTTGTAGTTGCTCTACTTTTTGTAAGGATACTAAGTTGTATTTGGTTTTATTGGGTACCATTTACCTAGACTTCAGTCTTTAATTATTAATTAGCCCTATAAAGAATATATTCTATTTCAAAACATAGTATAGATGGTTTTTCACCTAGGGAATTAAGTTCCTATTAAAGAGAGTGTGATTAACTTAGTACTATGTAAATGATGCTGGTGAAATAATTTGGTATATAAGTTGTATAGTTAAATAATAGGAAAACTAGTTTCTGAAATAATTTAGTGGGGTTTTTTCCCCTCTGGATTAAACCAAGATTGAACCTTGTTTTGTTGCAGGAAGGCAGGTGGAGTGAGAAATTAGTGTTAAAAAGATTGTGTCTACCCTAATCTAAACTTAGTTCTAGAAGCATAAATTGACTTCAGTACTACTGGTACTTCCCCTGACTGCCAGCTGTTTATCACTCCTCTGAATAGAAGGTGTTTTGAGTGCCTTGTCCTTATTTTCTCAGCAGTTACCTCTGTCCATTTCCATAGAAACCAGAAACAGCAGGAAGATGAAGAGTTGTTAAAATTCCTTAAATTAAGAGTTGTGTTTTCATACCATTTACAGTGCATTCTCACTTGTGTATTCCAAACTTTGTAGTTACAACTCTAAGAAAAAGAGTGTAATGGATATTATAACCTTAAAATATTTATTATTTGGTATGGTTTATTTTGAAAGTACTGTAATTGTGTTTTGTGAGGTTATTTCTGTTACTATCAAAATAGGAGATTATTTTATCCCCTATTCTTTAAGTTCTCATTTCTTTTCTCTTGTTTATCTCTCCATAAACAAGGAGGCTTGGGGTTAGTATCTACCACTTATTTCTCTTAGGGGCGCCTTCGGAGATATTTTTGTATTGGGGGTTATGCTCTGAATATTGTAAATATGGTCAAATGTGAATGTTAAAATCTGTAATACATATACAGTATATTGGGGTATAGAAATTGGTCATGATGTTTTGTTTTGTTTTAAAAACCATTTTTTATTGATTTCAGAGAGGAGGGAGAGGGAGAGAAACATCAATGATGAGAGAGAACTATTGATGGGCTGCCTCTTGCACACTCCCCACTGGGGATTGTGCGTGCAACCTGGGCATGTGCCCCAACTGGAAATTGAACTGTGACCTCCAGGTTCATAGGTCAACGCTCAATCCCTGAGCCACACCAGCCAAGCAGCCATGATGTTTTTGATGAAAATACTATGCTGTCATTGAAAAATACTTTAATGGATTTGTTAATAAGGGTGGAGACTAGTAGAGGGAAGCCTGTTTATCATGTTGACTACCCTCAACCCCCTCCTCTCCCTTGTCATTATTTTCTCTCAGTGACCTACTTTAGCCCAAAGGCTTTAAATGGTAACTATTTGCTGATGATTCTTAAATGTGTAGTTCTAGCCCTCATTCAGTCTATCCCTTATGCTCTAGATTTGGTAGCCTGTGGCATCTATGACATTTCCATTTGGATGCCTAATGAGCATCCCAGACTTAGCATGTCCAAAATTGAAACCCTGTTGTCTCTTCCTTTCCTTCAAATCTGTTCTTCCCTGCTTTACCCATTTCAATCAGTGGTACCACTATTAGCTTAGGCTAGAAATCTGAATTGACTCCTAATTAGTCCTTTACTAATTAGTCCTTTACTAATTAGTCTAACTTAATTGGTCATTTCTTCCTCTGAAATATTGATATATCCCAAATTTTTTTTTCATCTCCACTGCTAAAACCCCACTCTGAATCTCCTTCATTTTTACGTAGATTATTACATGTTACAGTAGATAGTTTTTTTTTTTTAAATATATTTTATTGATTTTTTACAGAGAGGAAGGGAGAGGGATAGAGAGTTAGAAACATCGATGAGAGAGAAACATTGATCAGCTGCCTCCTGCACACCTCCTACTGGGGATGTGCCCGCAGCCAAGGTACATGCCCTTGACTGGAATCGAACCTGGGACCCTTGAGTCCGCAGGCCGACGCTCTATCCACTGAGCCAAACCAGTCAGGGCAACAGTAGATAGTTTTTACCTAGATTATTACATGTTACAGTTCCATGTTTGCCCTCTGGAATCTTTTTTTTTTACCCAGAAGTGAGAATGATCTTAAAATTAGATCATGTCACAGCAGTGCAGAAGACAGTTAAAGATGCTGCCTCAGCAAGCCTACATTCTAGTAAGGGAGAAGAGATCATAAACAAGGAACACATGGGAATCCAAAGTGAATACAGTTGGTGATGGACGAAATACAATTACCCTTTGTTTAATGAAATTAATTTAAATTATTCCTAAAATCCTTGCTGCCAAATCAAAAGCCATTAAATGAGAAAATTATTTCCACTAATAGTATATTTCATCTCAGTCCAGGATACTTGAATAATTGTCACAGGTAGACAAATGTATCAAACACTGAAAACAAATTTTTATAAGTAACAAATGCAAAAAATAGTTTGTACCCAAAGAATGTAATGAAGATTTATTCAACTCCTTTTTTATTTCTGCACAATTTTCCCCCACAACATTTTTAGCCCTTTGTTGGCTCATTGTTATTGTGCACTCAAACTAAAATTGTAAACTAAAAGTAATAGAACAGGCCCTGACCCATGTGGCTCAGTTGGTTGGGTGTCATCTCGTGCCCTGAAAGTTTGCTGGTTTGATTCCCGCTCAGGGCACATACTTAGGTTGTGGGCTCCATCCCCAGTAGGGGGCATGCAGGAGGCAGCCAATTGATATTTCCTTCTCACATAGATGTTTCTCTCTCTCTCTCTCTCTCTCTCTCTCTCTCTCTTAAAAAAACAACATCAATTAAAAAGTCTTAAACAAAACAGTAATAGAACAAGAAACTATTTTAGGTCAAAATAAAGGCTCAACATGAAAACTTATAAAAATAACTAGAGGCCCGGTGCATGAAATTCCGGCACGGGTAGGGTCCCTAGGCCTGGCCGGTGATCAGGGCCGATCAAGGCCTTCCTTTGTTCTGTGCCCCCCTCCCATCCTCCCCCCAGGTGGTCAGCGCACATGATAGTGAGTGATTGGTCTCCTGGTTGAACTTCCATGGGGACAATTTGCATATTAAGTTTTTTTATATATATATGTATATATATAGATTAATGCACATAATGGACTGAGGAGCCATTAAAGATACCACCTTTTCGTTCTCTCACTTTGTGTACATATGCAAAGCAAATTGTTGGGAGTTTACCCAAACATGGCATTTAATTCAGATTTGTTCCATATGATATTCTGTGACTAGAAACTATCATAGTAAGTAAAATTTTTTAGTATGCTTTTGTCTGAAACCATAATAATGAAACATCACACTTCTTATATTGACTTAGAGTGGTTGTGAATGAAAAGTCTTTTTGCTAAATACAGACAAAAACAAAAACCAGAGGATTTGTTGTAAAGGTGGTATGACTTTTTAAGAGTCATTATAGCTAAAAGCTGTCATCTTAAGTCATTAAATAAAGTGAATAGGATATGGAGTTGGTAATTAACTCAGTGATGCCACTTTAGTATAATGGGGCAGATTTCTCTGAGAGTTGACACATTTGAATTGAGATCTGATAAAGGAGAACAAGCTAATTATGGCATAAATGATAGGAAAAGTGTTTGGGGCAGAGAAAATGTGACCATAAAGACCCAGGGGTAGAAAAGGACATAGGGAGGTCAGGGTTGGCTAGAGCCCAGTGAGGCTAGGGATGAGCTGGAAGAACATAAAGTAAATTGTATCCTTTAAGATTTGAGTATTTCATTTAGTTTAGAATTAGTGACAAATGCACAGCACTTTTTGTCTTGAGTGTGTTTCAAGCCTGAGTTTAATTCTTGTATTACAGAGTGTGAGTTAGGCAGAATCCCTAAGTGCAGTGGAATTAGCTCTGCTAGTAAAAGGAAACTGGATTTGAAATTAATCAGATTGTGATTGAAAGGAGGGGACACCAGCCCTGCCTGAAAGAAAAGACTGAAAGTTGCAGGCCACTATGATCATAACAGGCCCTGGTGTCGTCATGGAGCTTTCCAGACAGTCTCCTACGCTAATCAAGATGTAAACACCAACAGTGTTGGTGGTTCTGACTGCAAATTTTTTTCTCTTTCACTGTGAAAAAACGGAATAATTCTGATTTGTCTAGTGTATGTGTAGAAACGAATGCAGTCTAGGCATGTAATCATTGTAAAGTATTTCCCAGCTTCTCTGTTTGAAACAATTGCTAGGAAAAGAATTGCTCTAGGAGGCTGGCTATAAAATCATGCATAGAAATTAGGATATCAAATTACCTTGATATTTGGCATATTAGAGGCAATAAGGTAACCTACAGTTTAGCTTTTTTTTTTAATATATATACATATATATATATATTTATATTTATAACATACCCTTTGGTGAAAAGCAAAGCACCTCTTATGTTGATTTTTAAAGGTACCGTATCTGTTTGTGACCATGAGCCCCAGGGCTTTCTCTGAGCTTGACAATGTGCTGATGGT